GCGCTGAGTCGGGGGGAAGGGGGGGTGGCTATTTGATGGTTTAAAGGGGCTTTTTGAGGAAGGCATCGCCGATTAGGCAAGTCAGGAAAATGTTTTGTGCTGCAGTTTGCTCGCTCTGAAACATCAAAGTCGACCCCACGTCCCCACCCTCAGCTTGGAATTTGGGGATCCTTCCACCATATTTACATTCAGAAATGCAGCCCAACGCGATGCAGACAAAGGGGAGGCTTACCCTCATCCCCTCCGTCCGGGGTCCTGACCCGTGAGGCTGGTGCTCCAAAACAGTGTCCCAGCCCCACTGAGTGTGTGATCGACAAACTCTGTGGGTGAGCATCGTGGGCTGGTCCTGACCCAGAGGCAAGGGCCACCAGCCTCAGGTCTAGGACACATATCCCTGTCTTCCAATGTTTCTCTGACGCCTCGGGGTAGCTTACAAGTCAATATTTAATGCAGATCATAAAGTAGAAACACAGCCCCGTCCCGTCCTCTCCAGCAACCCCGCCACAATTCTGGAGGTGGACAGGAATAGACGAAGGGCACGTGGGGACACGCTGAAGCCCTCGGCATGGGACGCCTGCCACCCCAGAGTCCAGGAGCAGACAGAGGAGTGGCCTTGATATGGACAGACTGTGACGGCACCCTCGCAGGTCCCGAGGATGGGGGTCGGGGAGCTGAGCCACCGAAGCTGGCACTGGAGAGCCACGTGGCCACAGAGCCTGACCAACGGCACATTAGAGACCCTCAGTCTAGCGTGGCTCCAGAACCACTTGGTGGGAGGGCCGAGAGGCCCATGCAACCCGCTGCCCACGTCTCCCCTCCCCGTGCCCCGTGAGCTCTGCCCCTGGACTCTGACCACGTGTGGGAGGGAGCACACATCACAACACTCTGGCAAGCACATCAGACCCAGGAGCTCATGTGCCCATAACACGCGCTCTGCTCCCCAACACCCGTGACCAGGAGCCAGGAAAGCGGGTTTTTATTTCAAGAAGAGACAGGAAGGAGAGGAGCTTGGAATGGGGACACAAGCAGTGAGGGGCTACTCACTCAACAGGCATTTACTGAGGCCCTACTACGTGCCGGCACTGCGGGGAAGGCCGACGCCGCCTGGCTCTGCAGAGGGGACAGCCTCCAAGAGACAGTCATGCGGCCATGTGACTGCCCTCGATGGTGGCTGACGTGCCCCAAAGACACGCCTGCGCCCTAATCCCTGGATCAATCTGAGAATCTCAAGACGAGAACATCCTGGACTTAGGGTAGGCCCTTGAGGGTAGGGTAGCCTTGTGCCCTCTCAGAGAAAGGAGAGGGGGTTTGAGACACAGATGCGGAGCAGGCCACGTGCAGCCACGCCAGGGACAGGAGACACACTGACAAGCCCGGGCTACCACCAGAACTGGCGGGAGGCAAGGACGGACCAGCCCTGCCAACAGCTCGACTCTGCACGTCTGGCCTCCAGAGTGGCAGTGGAATACATCTCACTTGTTATGTGCCGCCCAGCTTGGAGCATCTCCTGACGGCGGCCCCAGGACACTAGCACGTGGCCTGTCCTCACATCCTGAACCAGCCCGCCGGGGATGAGGGGCCTTGGGAAGCAGAGGTGGGGCGGTGCTCAGATGCCCAGCCTCAGCAAGCTGGAGGGACGTGAGATGGTGCCTGCAGAGGCCACCCCAGGCCCCCGAGTCAGGCTCCCTGCGGGGCGGCTCTGGGCATCTGCGCTCTACAAAGCTGGGCATGTGCTGCCGGGCGCCGGGGAACCCGGAGGTTTTGGCTGACGACCCAAGCCAAGAACAGGAATGGGGTGGTCCCAAGCTCTGTCTTGGGATCGACTGCCAGGAGCCCAGAAGATGCACTGGGGGACACGGGGGGGATGAAGAAACGGCCAGGGTGGCACGCGACCAGGACATGGGGAAACAAGCAGATACAACAATCCAAGAGGGAAAGTGCAGGAAAAAGTCTACTCTTCTGAAGTCATGTGCCTGGTAGCCTGTCCTGCTCTGGAAGGGGCCACAGGGTCTACAGGGGACTTTTGCTCCAGAACCCGGGGCAGGGCAGCAAGGAGGGCATTAGCCCCGGTGGTCCACACCTCCTAGTGGACCAGTCCTCCGACGGACCAAGGTCTCTCAATTCCCAAATTGGCATAGGGCCTGCAGAGGAGAAGGTGCTCAATGAAGAGTCACCATGGAAAGAAGTGACCGAGGGGTGACAGGGCTGGCTTCTCGGGTACTGGCTGGTTCAGGTACCCCAGGGCCGTTCTCAGGAGGTTCCAGCACGGCACGGTTCCAGCGTGTGAAACCGCAGAGGGAAAAGGATGTCCCCTCCCGCAGCAAGAAGCAGACGGCTTTCCTCAGGACGCAGGACTTCCCCAGACAGGAAGGCACTGGGACACCTCTCAGGTCTCAGAGCCAGGCCTCCCCCAGGGGCGACCTCGTGGAGGGGACCCTGCACCCCACATGTCCTCGTCCCTCCTGCTCTGGGTCCCTTGCCCCTGAGAGCCGCTAGCAGGTGGCATCCTTGGTCTGCAAGCTCTCCCCATGATCTTGGGGCTCAGGAGTGCTGCTGGTGGGCAGAGTGAGTTGTCAGAGTGGAATGTGGACGTCAAGGAGGAGTCAGGACGTGGGGAGGAAACCATCAGTTCCCCAGGTGGATGCTTGTTCTGGACCGCGGGTGAGGACAGGGGCCCGCAGGAGCTCCATCTAAAACGGGATGCCTCCTGAATGGCGGGGGGAGCAGCTTGCACACCCTGAGCTGCAAGCCTTCCCAGGCATGGCCCTTCTGCACAGCGCAGGATGCTGCCCCTCCTAGACCCCACCACACACGGCATCCACCCTCCTGCACGGGATCCACCCTCCTGCACAGGATCCATCCTTCTGCATGGGATCCGCCCTCCTGCAAGGGATCCTCCCTCTTGCACAGGATCCACCCTTCTGCACACCACGGGGTACTGTCCTTCCCAGATTCCCCACAACACACGGCATCTGCTCCCCTCCAGGAGCGAGGGTGGCCCCAGAGGGTCAGCGAACACAGGGCTGAATGGGGGTTTTACAAGCGATGGACGGCTTCTGGGAATCAGTGCACTGAGGGACATCTATGCACACAAAGGACCCACAGGCTTCGTGTGCTCTGGTGCTAGTTTGCTCGATCGGTCAGACCCTTCGTCAGGAAACTCAGAGGAAAGGAGAGGCCTCTTTTTTCCCTCCCTGGAGGTGCTGAAGGGACCCTGCAGGAAGCACAGATTTCCTTACCATCCGTCCCTGCAGGATACACAGCGGAAAAGCCCGCAAGACAGGTACTGAGAGGCGCTGACGCCTGCCTAAGTTGACTGTAAAAGCTGGCCCTGCATCTTCAGGGGGCCCCCGGTGGTCTTGCGAAGGCACAGACCTCAGTCCCAGCACCATGAGATACGGAAGCTGCACGAGCCTGCGGCCAGTGTCCCTGCGACTCAGGAGGGGCTGCCCTTCGGAGTTTAAACAAGTCACGGGTCCGAATGGTGAGTAGTGACTAAAACATATTCACCAGACCAACGGGTACTCTGTTCATAATCGGGAAAAAGAAAACCCTCAGTTGGTCCAGAGCTGTCTGCATCCCATACAGGAAAGCTCATTCTATCTCCAGCTGGAGGAGACAGTCAGGAATCTCCCTACTCTTTGTTTTAAAATCAACTTGGCATCTCAAGGGACTTGGCAGCTCGTGAGGACAGTGAAGTGACTGGTCCTCATACTGGCGGCGGGACAGGCAGAGTCCCCGGGGTCTCTCGGGCCACCTCCCATCATCCTTTCTGCCATGCGGCCCCATCAAGGCCCATGCTCAGAACAGCGAGGAGGGCAGCCCCGGGCTTGCTACCACCACAGACCGCTCAGCTCAGGAGGCCGGCAGGGCCACCAGAAAGCCCTGCCCACGCTCCCTGCCCCTCCCGGGCCGAGTGCCCAGCAGCCGATACTCTCAGACCTCAAGCCAAGCCCGTCCCCCCGCGCTGCTCTCTCGTGTTGGGGACATGGTGGGAAGGGAGCTGCGGGCACCGCGCAGGCCCAGCCCCTTCCCTACATGGCGTGGCAGACGTGACGTCAGCAATCTTTACGGTGCGCTCACGGAGGTGCTGGTGCGGCCCAGGTGGAGGCCCGGGTCTCAGAGCAATGCAGTGGTTTGCCCTGGCTCTCGGGAGGGACTCGTGCCGGCATCGGGCGGGCCTTCGGGAGGCCCAGATGCTCCACTCGGGGCGCTGGATGACGCAAGCAAAGCAGCATCTGGCTCCCCACCCTCGTGCGAGTCTCAGACTCAGGGCGGGAACCGGCCACACACTGAACACGATAAAGACTCGACAGCCTGACACGTGGCTGCCCTCGCCCCCAGCAGCAAACACGGGGTGAGGGCCACAGGCAGTAGGAGACACAGATGCCATCCGGGTGCCACCCCATCCACGGACTGGCGCCGTGTCCGAAAGCTCACCACTGCTGGTCCACTGGGACTGCTCGCCGCTGCAGGTCCTCTGCAAGCCCGGGGCCGGCGGAAGCAGGCCAGCGGGCTCTTCCAAGATGCAGGACTGAGCCCAGCCACCGGCAGGGCGACAGGGCAGAGGAGGAGCCCCAGACACAGTCCTCCTGGTTGGCACAAGGGGTACTAGAAAGGGGAACGGTCATGAGCACCACGGGGCAGAGGAACGGGCTCAGAGACGGGGGTCGGAGGGGGCCACTGAGCCTCTGCTGCGCCTCGTTTAGCTACTATCTCTTAGCTTACATGGGAGTGTGCACAGGGCAGAATCTTCCAACAAACCCACAAATAATAAGCTAGCCACAAATTCGTCTGACTCACCAGGGGCACAGCAGTGACCTACGTGGGCCGCATGCCGGGAGGGACGGGTACGTGAGAACGAAGATGGAAAAGTGGCCAGGACCACACGTTGGGTTAGGTTTTGCTAAACGCGGACTCCGAGCCAGCCTCGTGAGGATTAGAGAAGGCGGGGAGCGTCTCCCTACAAGGCGGAGCCCTTCCTCCCCGAGCCTACTCACCGACATCGGTCTCCTTGTGGTTCTTGATGTATTCCGCCAGCTCGAAGTTGCCCGCGATGATCGCCACCTGCAAGAGCGGACATCGCGTTAACCAGTCAGGGGCAGAGCCTGGCCGTTGGCACGCGTCCCCACCACCGACGGCCTCGCCCCACAAACGCACCTTCACAGTCCCCCGGTCTTAAAGCAAAAGATGTCCCTTTCTCTCCAGTTTCATTCAGATATAACTGACACACAGCACTGTGTGAGTTTAAGGGGCGTGACGTAAGGACTCGACGTACGTAGATGGCGGGAAGGTCACCATGAGGTCAGTCAACATCTGTCACCGCGCAGAGTGACAAAAACCTTCTTTCCCCGTGATGAGAGCTTTTGAGATCTACTCGCTTGGCAACTTTCCAGCGCACCGTATGGCACCATCCGCTCCAGGTACCGGGCTGAACACCACACCTCCGTGAATGGTTCACCTTCCAACTGGACGATGGTGCCTCTTGACCACCTGCCCCCCGCCCCTGGGAACCACAAGCCTGACCTCTTTTCCTGTGGGTGGTGCTTTTAGATTCCACGCCTCAGTGATTAGACGGTTTGTCTCCCTGTGTGACTTACTCCGCTTAGCTCGATGCCCTCCAGGCCCATCCCTGTTGCCACAAAGGGCGGGATCAGTCACGACTGATAAAACGGCAGCCCCGGCATCCATTGGGCCCCAGACCTCAGAGTCAAACGCCACGCTCGCCCCCCTCAAAGCCCCTGGCCGTGTCACCAGATGAGGCTCTCGTTCCACGAGAACCCACAGAAGAGCGTGCCTCCGCCCAAAAGCCCCCGCGAGGACCACGGCACAGCCCCCCAGTCCTGTGTCCCGTGCTCCCGCCAGGGCACTCCCGGGAGCCCCGTCCTTCGGATTAGATGCGAGCCGCTCTCCAGAAGCAGGGGGAAGGGACTCCTCCAAAAAGTACCCGAAGCTCTTCATCAGATTTCAGTGTGGCAGGAGAAATTCCAGCCTGCGTGTGTGAAGAACACCAGAACCAACACCTACAGGAAATGGTCCCAACTCCGGCCCTACAGATCTACGGGCTCAAGCAGAAAGGCCAGGCAGGAGGCTCCCGGCAAGACCTGAGCCAGGACCCACGCGGGCAGGGCTCCCAGCACCCCAGACAGGAGGCCATGGTCTACACCCCCGGGGGAGCCAGGCACTCGGGTGCCAGCCTGCAGACACACACATCTACCGTCCGACAGCTTTCGTGATAATGCGGGCGGGGGAGGCCTTATTAGCGAAACCCGATTTCTGGGAGAAGAAATCCTGCCTCAAGCCTGCAGCATCGACTCCCGAGTCTCTGGCCAGCCCTCCAGATTTCAGACTTGCCAGCCCCCACAGTCTCGGGAGCCAGCTCCTCCCAAGAAGCTGCTTGAACAGATGCGGCTCCAGCCATCAGGCCTGCTGCCCGGGAGCGTCATGCCCAATGCCGCAGACACCATGGGCCCCAGAGCCCTGCCCTCGGGGGTGATGCTGGTTTCCTTTCCTGGGCACTGCCTCCTACAGCTCCCTGCCCTCCAAGGAAGCCGCCGTGGCCGCCCCTGTCTACACCAGCCAGGGGGCGCGGGCAGAAGGCGGAAGGCAAAGACCATTCCAGAGGCAGACCCCGTCTGCAGAGACAGAAGCAGGGCTGGAACCACCAAGTAGATGATGCTCCTCCAGCGACCGCCCACCCGGGACCCAGGCTTCCGCGCGTGGGCCCCGGACGCGGGGCAGGGACAGAGGGTGGGGAACGCGGCGGGCCGTGCGCAGTGTCCGCTGGCGCAGCCGTGGTGGGAAACAGTTTGGAGCGCCTTGGGGGTAGGACAGAGTTCCCGTTTGGTCCAGCAGCCCCACTTCCGGCTCTAGACCCAAAGGGCCTGAACGCGAGTGTGATGCTTAAGTTTTAGGTGTCGCCGTGACTGAGCCTGTGACGGTGTTTCTGGATGAATCCGCGGACTCGGTCAAGCAGCTTGGGTGGGCCTCATCCAATCAGTCGAAGGGCCACAAACAAGCTGCCTGGGAGGGACAACGCCTGCCAGCCGGCTGGGCCAGCACATAGGGGCCTTCCGACCTTCAGATGCAGACTAAAGTGCTAACTGTTCCTGAGGTTGAGCCTGCTGGCTCTCCGGCCGAGACTTACGGCCCTGCTGCCCGGGGCCTCTGGCTTGTTACGGTTTCACGCCTGGACTCCTCAGCCACCCTGGTAATAACCCTTGATGCGGGTGTGCGTGTGCATGTTTTCTGTGTGTGCACGCGTGCGTCCTACCGGCTCCATTTCCCTGGGGATCCCGTGAGTGAGGATCTGGCTGCTGGGCTGAGGTGCCACCGATGTGGGAGCCGCTTGGGGAGTGCTGGGCAGAAGCTGGGAGCGGTCTGAGGGGCACGGACGGTCAAGGCCATTCTGAGGGGCTCACACACGGAGTCTCGAGGAAAGTCACAAACGGCTCGGCCAACTTGTGTCTGTGTCCTAGGGATTTGCGGAAGGCAGAACGTGGGAGCGATGAATTGGAAATTTAGCTGAGGAGATTTCTATGCAGCGTGGAGGAGCAGGCCGTGACCTCCGGCTGCTTGGAGCAAGAACTGAGGAGAGATCGACTGGGTAAAGTGAAGGAGGAATGGTTAAACACAACGGAACCAGAACCCGAAGACTGGGGGACAACCTCAGCCCATCCACGTTGCAAAAAATGAAGCAAGAGAAGACCACGGGAGCGGTGAGGCCGGACAAAGAGAATGCGGGATGATAGGAGCAGAGACCACGGTGGGAACCGAGGGCGCAGAGCTGGGCTGTAAAGAAGGAAAGCTGGGGGACCTGGTGGTTGGACGGGATGGGTTCCTGGGCTGCAAACGTGCACCATCCTTCAAGGGGGAGAAACCACCCCAAAGGGGGCTCGAGACACCATCAGGCCCCTGCCTGGGTCTCACCAGAAGCCGTGGGGGTGGGACCACCGTGCAGCGCCAGGGGGAGGCTGCTGCCCCCGCGGGCCCGTGGGCCAGAGCACCGGGCCTCACGGAGCTGGCTGCTGGGTTCCGGGCTGCTGGGGACCCGACACCCTTTCTTCTTGCTCATTTTCTCCTCTGGAATGGGAGCATCTTCCACATGCTGGTCTCGCTGCTACACACGGGGAGCACACTGCTGGGTCACAGGTTTGCAGCTGGGGATGTACTTTGCCGGAGGATGAACCATACCTTGAGTCACCCATGCCTGAGATGGGGCTGGAAGGAGGTTAAGACTCTTTGGGCTGTTAGGTGAAATCAATATATTTTACATGCAAGAAGGACATGGATTTGGGGGCCCAGGGGTGGGGAGTCTTGCACACGAAATATGTGTCCTCCCCTCCCCTCCAAATTCCTATGTTGAAACCTAACCCCCAGGGGAATGGTATTTGGAGGTGGGGTCTTTGGGGAGGTGGTCAGCGTCAGGTGAGGTCAGGAGGGTGGGGCCCCTGTCACGGGGCTTGTTTCCCCATAAGAGGAGGATACCAGAGATGCTTTCTCTGCACCCCCCCCCAAGTATGGGAGGACGCTCACCAGACCCCAGCCATGCCGGCACCCTGACCTTGGAATTCCAGCCTCCAGAACTGTGAGAAATAAATTGTTTCAGCCACCTGGTCTGTGGGATTTCGTTCTGACAGCCAGAGCCGATGAAGACAGCAGGGACCAGAGAGCTATCCACACACCCATGTTCATGGCCGCGTTCCTCACAAAGTGGAACCACCCCAGCACCCATCGACAGATGAACGGATGAGCAAAATGCTATCATACAGTGGATATGATCCAGCCCTAAAAAGGAAGGGAATTCTGACACCTGCTACCACAGGGACGGACCTGGAGGACAGGATGCTCCACGAAACAGGCCAGATGCAAACGAACAGATCCTGTAGGACCTCCCTCATGTGAGGTCCCTAGATTCATAAAGACCGAGAGCAGGACGGTGGGCGCCGGGGCTGGGGGAGGGGACAGAGGCTAGTGTTCCCTGGGGACAGAGCCTCAGTTCTGCAAGACGGAAAGAGTTCTAGAGGTGGATGGTAGTGATGATTTCAGAGCAATGCACCGAATGCCACTGAACAGCTTAAGATAGCAAAACTTCCGGCTTGTGTATCTTACCATGATTAAACAAAAAAGGCAAAATGTACCTGTGTGGACCAGCAGGACAGAAGGTCAACCATGGAACATGATGATGCACCTGAACAGGCCAGTGGGTTTTGCAGAGATGCCTGAGCTTTGGAAGAGCCATCTCCCCCTGAGGCACAGGGCTGCCGGGATGACGGGGGCAGGGTGGGGAGGCCTCAGACAACGCCCACAGGAGCAGGGAGCACCCTCCGGGTTAGCAGGGCAGCCCCGGCATACACACCCCTCTTCGGCCACTCGCCTCCTGGTACCACCAGTCCCCAGAGCTCCCTTCTGCCGGGGGTGATGGGAGGCAGGGAGGTGTTGAGGGAGAAGCTGTGTGCAGGGACTTTCAATCAGAGAATCGGCCGCCCAAGGTGCCCCCTCCCTCGGGGAAAACCTGTCCCCCACCTCCCCTATTCGTCCAGACCGGCCCCAGCCCCGTGCCCGATGTGAGACTGGCGGACAGGTGCTTAGAGGTGAAGGGCTCTGGCCCCAGGCTGCCAGACCTATACTGGGTGACCTTGGGCATGACAGTTAATCCATGGGCCTCAGTTTTGTCATCTGTGAAGTGGGTTGGGTGTGAGGATTTGATGAGACGTGCATGAATAGGGTTACAGCAGGGCCTGGCACATGGTAAGCCCTAAAACAGTTGCTGATTATTACTGACTGCTGCGGCGTAAGCGGCACACGGCTCATGGCAAAGGTCCTCCACGCACAATCAGATGAACACAAGTGCACACCCACATCCGTGCGGCACACCCGGGACCGCTGCTGAAAATAACTCCCGAAAGGACCAGAAACCAGCAAGTCCAAGTCTATTCTCCCCCAAAAAGCACTTTAAGAGCTGTAAACTGAGTTAACCGTGTAGCTGCGAAGCCACGTGCCCCACGTTCCGGCCAAAATATCTGGGCCCACAGTGCAAGTGAGAACAATCCAGACCTCCCTTTATG